TCTCCTTTCCACACTTCATTTTTCAGCTTCCTATCCTCTTCCTCCATTAGAATATAAACCTCTTGAGGGCAGGAGCTATCTTTCTTTTCCAGCACTTAGCACAGTCAGTATCTAACACATAAATGCTTATTGACTTGACTTGACTTGATTTGACATAAACACTTGAAACTCTCATGGTCATGTTTTGTTTTTTCCCCTGGAATAGTGTCTTACGCTTACGCTAATTCTGTGGTAAAATGGAAAGATAACTGGATTTGGAGTCAGAGAACCTGAGATTTAATCCTGGCTATACCACTTACTATCTGTGCAATCTTGGTCAAATTTCCTAACCTCTCTCACTAACTGATCTTTGAGGTCCCCTTTAGTTCTAAATCTTCTTATCCTACAGCATTTTTAATTGGTCTTAAGAACAATGTTTCTGTGAATAGTAGATAGAACTACAAATCTTCACCAATCTTAACCAAAGGGTAATGATATCAATTTGAGTACACTACAGCTAAATAATATAATTAAAAGAGAACTAATTTCATTAAACACCAAACAAAAAAAATGGCCTTTAGAAAAATGAAAGGTATATTATGAAGAATACTTTTTAAAGCACATGGCTTCCCACTCACTTCAGGTATTGAAGGAAAGGCTAACAGGAGTGAGGAACCTGCGGCCTTAAGGCCACATGTGGCCCTCTAGGTCCTCAAGTGCAGTTTTTTGATTGAATCCAAACTTCACAGAACAAATCCCCTTAATAAAAGGATTTGTTCAGTAAAACTTGGACTCACTCAAAAGGCTGCACCTAAGGAACTAGATGGCCACATGCAGCCTTGAGGTCTCAGGTTCCCCACCCCTGGGCTTTATAAAGGAAAAATTTATAGGAGTTGTCATAGGGGAGATTCCACGCCTAGATTAGGGTTCTTAAGCTTGAATTTCTTTTAAAGTTTTTGATGACTGTATTTTAATATAACTGGTTTCCTTTATAATCTTATGTATTTTATTCTAAGCAATTAAAAACATTCTAAGATGTGATCAATAAGTTTCAGACGGACTTAGGAGTTCATGACATAAAACAGGTGAAGAATTCCTTATTTAGATGACTTCTAAGTTGCCATTAAATTTGGGTCTGTTTGCAAGTACTAGAGACAGATCAGAAGAATCGTCTTTCACGTATTGAAGAGACTTTCCCCCTTCACTCTGGTGGAAGAGTTAGGCTGTTCCTGATTTTGTCTCACAAGAAAGTAGTAGTGAGAATCAAATGAGGAAATATTTGTATTAAAGTGCTTTGTAAACCTTAAAGCCCCACATGAAACACACACTATTGTTGCTGGAGGAATTATTGTGGATGCACAGATATCAGCAGCTAGCTTCTTCAGAATAAGTGCTTAGTAATCAAAATTAACAGCCACAGGCTAGCTAAGGAAAAACAATAGCAGCCCTAATAACATCCTCTTCGAATCTTACAGAAAATGTATAAGAGGCAACATTCAGGGGAATATGTTGGAGAAAGGTCTCTAGCTCTTGTTCAGTCAGAGGACCTATACTCAAATACGGCCTCTGGTGTTACTACCTATGAGACCTAGGATAAGTCATTTTATTCTTCTGTTTCCTTATCTATTAAATGAGGGGGATGAACTTAAAGGTCCTCAAATTTATCCTAACTCTAGATCTATACTCTTTAAAATGGAAATATACAAGATGATTTAATTGCTGGATGTATACTCTAGAGATTTTATTTATTTATTTATCTATCTATTTATTTATTTGACTAGGCAATAGGGTTAAGTGACTTGCCCAGGGTCACACAGCTAGTAAGTGTCAAGTGTCTGAGACCGGATTTGAACTCAGTTCCTTCTGACTTCAGGGTCGGTGCTCTATCCACTGCACCACCTAGCTGCCCCCTAGAGATGTTATTTAAAAGGAAGAAAATGACCTCTATCTTTACAAAAATGTCCATAGGAGCTATAATATCGTCCCTGCCCCCCCCAAAAAAAACTACAAAGAACTTACATGTCTAATGATTGAAGAATTCCTAATAAATCATACCATATTGACATGGTAATATTGCATAGAGGTGAGGCATAGAGAAATTAGATGGAAAGCTAAAAATACTAGGAATATGGTGCCAGTGACTGACTGCCCCTAGTTTTGCTAAATACAGAGAGGCTCAGATTGATCACCAGTTGATTAATTCTTTGGCCATGATGACTCATGAAGTACGGAAAAATACCAAATGGCCATAGGGCCTGTGTGGCCCCTTTGCATTTCTGCTGTGTTAGTGGCAGATCACAGAACAGAACAAGCACAGAGCTTTGTTTTGGTTTTGGTTTTTTAAAGATCATCTTTGCATGTTCATTTCACTAATGGTATTCTAAATGTGAGATCTATGTCCAACAACGACCAAGCTGAAATGCTACCGAATGAAGCAAATCTCATTAGTACTGATGTTTTCACTACGCATGAAACCAGAACATTGTACCTGAGATGTTTCAAAGGTTCTCCTCAGAGATGGGGCTGAAGGAGGTAGCAGAATCGATTTCATTTTGTGGCCAAGGCAAAAAGAGGGGTCATTCTGCAAGATTCTAGGTCCCCTTACAAAGAAAATAAAAGATAACCATAAAGCTAACCGTGGCTTAGCAATTGATCAGTGAGCACTTTTTAAGTGCCTGCGATGTACTCGGCACAGTGCTAGGCTCTGTTTTAGATAAAAATGGAGTCGTTTCTGCCCTCGAGGAGCTTACATCCCATTGGAGGGCTTCATTTATACATAGAAACACATACAAAATAAACATGGGAGAAGTTAATAACTGGGAGGATCAGGAAAGGCTTCATTGGGAGGTAGCATTTGACTTGAGCTTTGAGGAAAACAACACATTATCTGGTTTATACGCTAAAAATAAAGTGAAAAAGAGGCTGCCTTGTGACATAGTGGATAGAGTGCCAGACTTGAGAGTCGGGAAAACCTGAGTTCAAATCTTACAACTGATATTCAATTGTGTAGCCCTGGGCAAGTCAATGCTCCTCAGTCTCAGTTTCTTCAAGGGTATAGTAGTAGCATCTACCACCAAGAGCTGTTGTGAGGCCCATAAAGTGCTATATAAATGTTAGCTATGATTAGTTGAATTCTGGTACAGCTATGTGATGCAGCAGATAAACTCCAGGCCTGGAGTCAGGGAGACTCATCTTTGGGACTTCAAATCTGGACTCAGACACTTACTAGTTGTGTGACCCTGAGCAAGTCACTTAACTATGCTTGCCTCAGTTTCCTCATCTGTAAAATGAGCTGGAGAAGGAAATGAAAAACCACTCCAGTATCTCTGCCAAGAAAACTCCAAATAGGATCACAGAGAGTTGGATGTGACTAAACCAAATGAATAATAACAGAGAATGAAGTAAAGAATAATATCATAAAACAATGAATGACTATTAAAAGGCACACATCGACCAGAATTTCTAGAGTGATCTCTTCTCATTGTTGATGACAGTGGAACCACTGTATTTTTTATTCTATCACCTCAGGACTCAGCGACCCACATGAGCAAGTTTAAATGACAATCAATAGAATGATGCTTGGAAAATGGCAGAGATGAAAGCTCTACTTGAAGCAGTGCCAACTTAAAGACACAAAGGGATGATTTTCTGTTTTCTCAAAGGAAGATGCCAATAGAATGGAAACTGATGAAATGTTCAGAAAATGGAATTTAGATGATATGTGTATATTTTGTGTATATATCCATATGTATATACACGTATCTTTACACACATATGTGTATGTGTATATATATGTGTGTACACACACACACACACACACACACAGAAGGTAGATAGAGATGGTAGCTGGAGACAAGGCAGAAACAAAGTCCCTAAGGATATAAAGAGTAGAGGACGATGCCCCAACTCTTTTTTTCCCCCTCCTGCTCATTGTTTTGGATTATTTATAAATCACACTTAACTGACTTTAAAAAATAAAAAAGGACTGAAATACCTTAGCTACAGGGTTCGAAGAAAATTAAGAGGGAAGGAAATCTAGAAGTTTGGATGCCAGCATAAACTTCAGTAGTTTGACTGCAATAAATGCCTAGTTTCAAATGCTTTTTCAGAAGGGAAGGGAAGAGGGAGACCATTTTTCTTGCCTATATATTGTCCCTGCAGAGACTTCAAAATAAGAGGCTTTTCACCCTCTTCCCATTTGATATATTAATTTCCATGTTCCATAAATACATATACAGACATAGCAGTTCCCTTAGCTACACTTCAAGCTTGAGGACAAAGTCATTCTGCAGGTGAAGAATAATTTGACAAGGTACTCAGTTTGTGCCTGGGGTCAAAAGGAGTGGTTATTGTATTCCATGGCTTGCTTCACTATGCTTCATATTAATAAGGCTACCCACCTGAACAACAACTTACGAATTATCCTGTAGATCAAAAGTCCTGGACCTAGTACTAAAAGTGAGCTGTCATTGATCACCCATCCCATAATGGGTTCCGACATGGCTCAGCTAAAGTGCTGAATGGTTTCGGATGATAAACTCAGAAATGAAGAATAAAGCTTTGTTGAATTACATCGAAATTGTTGTAGCCAAAGATATATAGCTAACACATTCATAATGCTGCCTTCAAACAGGCATATTCAAATCAAATTTGTTAAACATCCAAAAACCTAGAAACTTTCTAGTTTTAGAATTTAGCATCCTGTCAATAAAAAAAAAAACCTAGGCAAAAAATATAGAAACATTTCTATTCATCTAAAAATGACCTAAAAGAACTCCAACCCTCCTAACAGCATAGGAGCTTATATACAAGAGCTGGCAGCTTTCACTAATTTGACCCATGGACTTAAATAACTCCATGTCAACTTAACTGGGTTTTAAGGGAAGAAAGCTGCTACCTAAAAGTAGCATTTAATCCACTGGCATGAATCTTGTAAGCTCCATACACAACGGAGCAGTAGGCAAAGAATATCACGGTAGGTGCAACATTTTAAAGGGTTTATTAGAGACAAAGAGACCTACCTCAGGCTAAGGGTTAGCCGTTGCTCCTTCGATTTCAGCAGGTCCCCTACTTTAAAACTAGCACAGCCCAAGAAGCTCCGCTAGAATAGAGAGAAAGAAAGAGAAAGAAAGAAAGAGAGAGAGAGAGAGAGAGAGAGAGAGAGAGAGAGAGAGAAACATTATTAATTTTTAGACTTTCTTTTTGAGCCACAATCATATAGAATTCATCTTTGGGAGCATGTAAGAAACATCACTTTGGAATCTGACTGACTGACTTGATCTATTATCCTGCCAAATGGATCCATAGATCACAGACACACTTATTGACTATACTATTAAGCTCGATTTGAGGTGGCAGGAATGTATCTTTTTCATTAGAAACAAACAGATGAACAACCTGTGGGATGGAGATCTAGAAAATGCCCAGCCTCCAGGAACTTTTAATTTCTTCTTCCCTCTCTTTGAGAACTAGGGAAAAGAAGCAAGGAACTTTTGAGTTTTTACCAATCCACTGTTTCTTCTTGTTACGAGGATTCCTCAAAATCCTTGGAGCAGCTGCAGCAGCACTGATGGCTTTGCACTCCAGTTAAGAACCAATTGGTAAGTTGGAGTTATTTTTATGTGGGATTCTGCAAGTTATAAATAGAAATGCTCTATCCTCTCCCCCCATCCCCCATTTATAGCAATGTTGTTAAGTATTCATTTCCTTTGTTATTTCTATACTATCATGGAACAATTTCATTCCAACACAAATAAAAAGAATTCTGCTCCTCCAACTGCATTTTGTACAATTGCTGTTTTGACCTGTCATAATACACTCCAACTATCTATTGCTATTACCTTCCACAGTGCTCACCTCATGATGCAAAGACTAAGTTTCTAAATTGTTTTTTTTTTCTTCAGAAAAAGAAAACCTTTCATCTTCCTTTAATATTCCGCTTACCTTGGACCCCCAAATCACATTATTAAGGCATACGATAAAGAGTTTCTCATTCCCTCATCAAGGTTAAGGTATAAACAAGAAAACTTCACTCTATCGTATTACTTATTCCATTAATATCCAACACGTTACAAGAGGTCAATGCTGCCTTCTAGACACTACAATTCTTTCTCTGTTTCCTCCCTGGATGGACTTGAGTAAGGGAATGGACTTCAGGAAACCTATTAGATTCTTTTAGAGAATGGAAGGCAATATCAACAGAAAAGTTTGCTATCACTCAGGGAATCTGATGAACAAGATGGAAAGGAAGAAGTTAACACAGAAGATTTGGTTGGTGAGACATCACACAACAAGAGGCTGACATGTTGAGCAGCAAAGGTTGGGAAGTCAGAACAGAGAATGGAAGAAAAGAGGGCCCTTGTAGTTGAAGGAAAAATTAGGTCTATTAGCTGTTGCAAATTGACCTAAGGGAGAAAGAAGTAAAAGGGTGACCTGCCTCTCCAAGCTTATCTCATGATCTGATGTTCCAACCTCTAGTGTAGCCTTTCCACTCCCTGTTTTCAGTTTGCCTTCTTCTGGGTCTGCATTTACTCATGTTTTCCTCTATGCCTGGAATGGACTCCTCAAATGTCACTTGCTCCATGCCCTTGCTTCCCCAACCCTTCCCCCCTCTAGGAGAAAGTAAGCTTTCCCTCTTCAGATGGTTCATAGAACTTGGCCTGGATGTCTCATTTTTCCTTGCATCATAATTTGTGTTCGCTTATTTCCCCCACCTCCTTTCTCCATTAAATTGTTAACTGCATAATAAAGAAATGGAAAATATCATAAACACAGAAATGAAGCAGCATAGGTTGGTTTTTCTCATTGCATAGCCCACTGGATTCTGAATAACTTTACCTGTTGGCCTAGCTAGAGCCTTTCCACAGCCATTTAGCTACCCCAGAATCTCACTGCAAGGTGAGAAGTCCAATATACTCAGAGCCGATTGACGCTATGCTGTTGTAGAGAGAGTAAATCTTGGCAGGCTGCCTTAGCATTTGAGACTCTTATCTTGGGTCCCAAAAGAAAACTAACAAGTTAACTTGAACTCTAAAGAAAAGCAGCAGAAACCAGAGACTGTATGTACTTTGTTATAACATGGGAAAACATTCAGACAGCCTCTTGAAGGTACGGATGCAGCTGGTGGGCATCTATAAATGTTGTCACAGGAATGCAAGCCACGGGCTAATCCAAGCAACAGACAGGCCAGTCTGGAATGCAGTAACGAGAGACTCCCAGGGTGGGTGTTTCCAAGCAGCAACAGCATGCCAGCGTATTCTAAGGCAGCTTTGCAAACAGCAACAGGCCCCGACAACAGGGAAGGCTGAAGCCAGGTGATGGAACACAGTCTGAAAAATCTGTGCTATATGAAAGACTGACACCACATAGCTTTCTTTCCAAATATTGTCACTGGTAGGGGGATGATGGACCATGAAGAAAAACAGAAAGCTTGACACAAACATAATATCACTACCTAAAATTATAAATGGTACTAGGTTACTATGTAGTGGAACTCTTTCAAACCAGAGAAGGCATTTTTTTGGACATTATTAGGATCACAGATAAGGAACCAGAGTCCATCTAGTTCAAGATAAGAATCGAGGGTCTGGATCTGTGGTTAGATTTTTAACAGAGCCATGAACATTTCTTTTAATATTTTGATGGCTGTATTTCAATATAATTAGTTTCCTTTGTAATCCATTTAAAAAAACTGACATATTTTAAAACACTATTCTAATGAGTCACATACTTCACAAGATTGTCAAAGGGGTCTATGACACAAAAAAAATTCAAGAATCCCTGATCTGATCCAACCACCTCATCTTCCAGACGAGGAAACCGAGGACCTTAAGTGTATAATGACTTGACCAAGATTATAATGTAGTATATGGCAGTACCAGAATTTTAACCCAGTCTTTCTACTGTACTAATGCCATCTCTAAAGTGTTGCTTATTCTGTAAATAAAAATGATGGTCATATACCTTTGTTTGTTTAATTCTTCAAAGTATATAATGCAGTTTTACCTGTCTCATGTCACCAAACTTTCATAATAACCATGATGTAGACGGGTCACCTATTACTGTTATCATTTCATGAGTGGGAAAACTGAAGCTTAGGAATACTAAGTGACTTTCCCAAGGTGAGAGAACTTGTGCAGACCAATTAAGCTGGGTCTTGAATTCAGGTCTTTTGACTAATATGGAAAAAAGTGATCTGTATTTAAAGATAGGATATGAGTTCAAATTGTTATTCATTGTTATTTATTTCATGTGTAATCTCAGGTAAGTGACTTTACCTCTGTGCCTGAATTTCTTCATCTCTAAAATGAGGGTGGGCTGGTATCCAGTGATACCTAAAGTCCCCTCCTGTCCTGAATCCTATGAATTCTAAGTCTAGTGCTCTCTTCATTATACCAGATGGAGCAAATCCAGCTCTGGTTTTTGTTTTTAACAAATCACATTCGACCAAACAACTTGGGGGGTCCATGTGTGTGCTATTGTATGACATCAAATAATTAGTTTCCCTTCTTAAGTGATTTACTGGTTCTGTATAGATATGATTTCACTTTGAAGCAAGCACGCCTGTGATTTTTGGAAGAGAAAAAAATAAAAACGAAAGCAGAAAACTTTGCAACACAGGGTGAGACAAAATTAGGCATCCTTTCCAATGTGCTAAGTGCTCATTATAAAAATAAAAAAAAGCAAACAAAAACATCTTCCTCTATGTCGGAGAGCTGGATTTCTATAAGACACATGAAATAAGGCAGATGACGAAAACTGTAAATCCCTGAAATATTGCCCTTCTGCATAGTATTCCAAAAGCATAAGGATTACTCTAAAAGGAAAAGCTTTTAATTTTATTTACAAGCATAAAAAAATGGTTAGGATTAGAGCAAACCTTGTCAGTAATGCCTGGATCGATCATATCAAGGGAAAATAGCTTGAATTAAACCACGCTTTCTCAGGCTTATTCTTTTCTCTACAGTTTTGGTAGTGGGAGCACGTAGAGTCCAACAGCCTGGAACTGAACCCTAGCTGGCTGATCATGGAGAAATAACAACTTCTTGAGACTCAGTGTCCTCATCTGAGGAGGAAAAGATGGAAAGAAGAGACAGAGAATATAGAGATATGCAGAGAAGGGGATGAGAAAAAGAAAAAGATAGAAAAAAAAAGAAATGGGCATTGGGGCAATATAGAAACACAGAGATTCAGAGAGTCAGGGAGGAAAAAAGTTCTTGCTGAGATCTGGGTTCCAAGACCAGTTCTGCCCTAAACTATTTGTATGTCTGTGAGCCAGTCACCTAATCTCCTGAGAGCTTTCAGATTCCTTCTCCCTAAAAATTGGGGGTTTGGACTTGAAGGGCCTTCCCTGGCTTTGGTTTTTTCATCTACGTGACAGATGCTGATTGTCAAGGGACCCTCCCCTCCTGAATCCTATGATTCTATGAACCTACGAAAATACTCTGATTTCATGAAATCCCATCTCAACTCCAACTCAACTTAGTTTGTGTGGAAAATCCAGCTGAAAACTGAGTGAAAATATATTTCAGGGGCAGGGGGCAAACTCTTCCTTCAGATCATCTATATATCTGCTGCACACTCTGTCCCTTTCCTTTCTAGGGTTCTCACAATTACCCTCTGCCTTTAAGGACTTTGTAGCAGATGAACATTAAATTGCCTGATGTACGATTTCAATCACTCACCTGCCTGGAGAGTAATATCAAGTCTAGGGGAGCAACGGGGGGACAGCTGTCTCATTCCATGACTTTTCTCTGTGAGGAGTGTGCAGATAAACAATTTATCCTACTGGCCCCATGAAGGGAAGTCAGAAATACTCAGGTTGCTCACTAAGACTGAACTCAACTACAATCCAGCCTTCAAGCCTAGTCAGGGCTGTGATGATTCCCTGGCTGAGCCCAGTTCCTAAATTAGAAGTCTTAGAATCCAGCTGCAAGATTCATGGAATTAGAGAAGGCTCCTGGGGCAGTCCAGCCTCCTTCATTTTATAGGCCCAAGAGCTGAAATGACGGCTGAGGCTCAGATACCAGTTGGCATAGAAGGCCTTTTGTGACTGACCCTGTTGTTTATGTTTTCACTGTTCCTGAAACTTGTTTCTCTCACTTTTCCATTTTAAAAAATCCTCTTAACTTCATACAGTCCTTGCACATAGTAGAAACTTAATAAATATTTGTTAAATTGAATTGAATTGCTCTAGGTTTCTCAGGTAGACTCAAGCAGGTATTCAAACCTGATACTTGTAAGAATCACATGCTTTTCCCACCACATCATGCAACATTTTATATTCCTGCTATTTTATTTACTGTTTGGTGACCTTCAGCCTTACAGATAATTTTTTTTTCTGGCAAAGCACTCCATAAATATGTTATCTTATTCCCTAATATTTTCATTGACCTTACCTAAATTTACCATTTTCCCAGCCTCTCTCCAAGCCAACTTTACTTCCTGCTATTGTCAACAGAATTTAAGGATGGGAGGTAGGGAGTAGACTATATGTAGAGAATTCCCAGATAAGGAAATTGCCTTCACCGATGCAGCCTGGCACCTTCACTGAAATTTATAATCTCTACAGCACTTGCCCATGGTCAGACAGGAGGTATCAGAGGCAAGATCCAGAATATCAGAATATACCAAAACCTGAACTCTTTGTGTTAATCAACAAAGATACTCCTTGTAAACTAAACAGACCTATAGCTCAACTACCTGGAAATCCTTTACCCATCACCCTCAGTTATCCAGCTCAGATAATAACCAGGAAACCAGTGGGGGGAAAAAAACAGGGAATGGGTTAGCAAAGTCAACCTCAGCAACCAAAGAGATGTCAAAAAGGCCATACATAAAAGCTTAAATGCTTTAGTCAACAGAGAGAACCCCTCAAGTTTATTTACTATTAGTGTAGCTACAATACTAGCAAGTAGGGCGATCTGATTTCCCAGAAGTCTAAAAGGGTTACAAGGGAATGTTAAAGTAGGCACTCTGACAACAGATTATGGGGAGGAGAAAGACCAAAATCTAAAATAGCAGCCCTCTGGTGCCATCAGATGAAATAAATATCCCTATATATCTGGAGAGACCTTGAGCCAATCAAGCCATTATAGAACAGAATTAGAATTAATATTCAAAATGATCACATTGTATTCATAAGAATCGGAGTCATAAATTTTGAAGGAACCACAGAGGACATCTCATGCTACCCATATTCTAATAGAAATCTCTTCTACAATATTGTGAACAAGTACTGTAGAACCTCCAATGATAGAGAGCCTAGTACTTCCCAAAACAATCCATTCCATTTTAGGATAATTCTAATCATTTGGAAGTTTACATTTTTATTGAGCTGAAATCTACCTCTATACACCTACCCATTGTGCCTAGTTCTTCCCCTTTAGGTGATATAGAAAAAGTCTAATCCTACTTTCACATGACAGTCCTTCAAACATCTGAAGACAAGTATCATGACTCTATCCTTCAAATCTTCTCTTCTTTAGACTAAACTGGCCCACTTCCCACATTTCCCATACAGCATTGTCTATAGATCCCTCATTTGTCACAGTCACGGAGGTCACTGGACAGGTTCCTTCACTTGTCACTGTCACGGAGGTCACTCTGGACAGGTTCCAGTTTGGCAATATCCCTTCCATAATGTGGCATCCAAAACACCCAGAACTAGTCTGACCAGAGGAGAGTGCAGTGCAACTATCACTTTCCTCATTCATTCTGGATCTCTACTACAAAAGTCTTTTTTTGTTGTTGTTGCCAAGACATACTCATGATTCATATTGAGTCCTTGTAGTCCAAGGAGGCATTAATAGACACTAGGAATATAAAAGAAAAATGCCATCAAAGAGCTTAAATGGTCCTGGAGGATACGTTTATTTAAAAGATATGCATAATAAATGGATATGTACATAAAAACATAGAGAGAAATTAGGGATGGAGAGGGCAGTACTAATAATTCAGGCAGAGGGTGATCCAGAAAGGCTTTTGGAAGAGGTGTCACCTAAGCTGAGCCTGGAAGGGAGCTAGAGTTTCTATGAATTGGAAGTGGGAGGGAGAGAGTTCCACTTTTCAAGGACAGGACAGGCTATGCAAAGCACAGAGGTGACAGATGTCAAATAGCAAACAGAAGAACTGGGGTAGAAGGCAGAGTGTGTGAGCAATAGTAAAATACAACCAGCCTCAGACAGATCGGAGCCAGCTCATGACAAGCTTTGAAGGAGGTAGGAGGGCATTCCAACCATTGGATGAGGAAAGGAAAGGGTAGGGGATATATGTTTAGGGGGAAGAGTAGATCAATTCAGCTGGAATAAAAGGTATGGAGAGAGAGAGAAAAGAGAAGGGGTCTGTATGTAGTAAACCGAGGCAGGGATGGAATCTGATCTCTGGGGGAGCCTCTTTTTAACCATGTTTCTGGGGTTATGATTTTCTCTCCCTAAGACTCTCCATAAGACTCCTTTTCTTTGGCAGTACAGTATATGTGTTAGCTCTGGCACAGTAGAAGCATGCCAGGGGGCGAGGCCAGAACTGTCCATCTACTGACTCTCCACACCAGTGATTAAGCAGCAGGCAGAGGAAATGATCAGTCAGCCCAGTCCACATCTGCAATCTCACCAGACCCCAACTGTTGCAGGAATCTGGCCTAGGAAGCACGTGTGGGTTGCCTGCGAGGTAATTTATGGGACTACTCCTGGCCAGCTGGACCAGCTTCTGTGAGCACTCACTTGGAGATGGATTTCCAAGAGACAAGACATGAATTCAGCATAATTCAGGAATCACTGTGCCAGCTCCCACCCTGTTAATTGAACTCCATCACATTTGTCAGCCCCTAGGCATAGAGCCAGAGAAGATAGGAACAATTAGGTTGGGAATGTCTGTGTACCCTGGGAGGGCTTAGAAATACTTACACCAACATCTGACCGTGGCTCCTTGTTCTCAGGCAGGACACTGGTACGGACCTAGGGGGTAAGAACAAACACTTTTATTTTCTAGGTGTCTTTGAAAAGGAAAAAAAAACAAAACAGGTGCTGTTTTCCAACTGTCTTCATCTGGTGTTGTTCAGCCTCTGTGTTTAATCATTAATCAGTCCACCTTTGGGTGCTGCTCACTTTCTAGACCTATGAAGCTTCCTCCTCACAGCCTCTCCACTTTCTCTTTCCTTCTCCTCTGTTAACAGAGCCTTTATAATGAGGCTCACTTCCCTCACCTGAGGTCCCTGGGAAAGTGACATCTGCAGGGGGAATCACCTCCCCGTTTTCTTAAAGAGCAAGGATGATTCAGATTGATAGAAAAAATACCATGAGTATTATAGAAAAGAGATGGGGAGGGGTCCATGAGGAAAGAGTGGAAAGTATATATGTGTATTGTCTTCCAGATAAGTAGGAAGAGCCACACAGTTTCCACACACTTCTTTCTTTCATGAACATTATAAACTATAATCTCCATCAGTTCATTTCAAGCCTGGATAAAAAGAAATTTGACACAATGCAATTCAACACGTATTTATTTATTAAGAGGGAGGTGCCAATGTTGGGTATACAAAGACAAAAATGAAAATAATGTCTACTTATATCCTTCTGGGTGGGAGTGAAGGGTGTATTATACAGTGGGAGGTATAGCAATAATGATTGTGAAAATGAGGGAAGGCCTCTTGTAAGAGATAGCACTTTCACTGAACCTTGAAGGGAGGTTAAGGATTCCAAGAGACAGAGGTGAGAAGGGAAAGCATTCCCGGTCTTGGGGACAGCCTATGTAAAAGCAAGGAGGTAGGACATGCAATGGGGTGGAGAGGGAAAAGGAAATAGGCTAATTTGATCTAACCTTAGAGTATATTAGAGGAAGTAATGTGTAAATCAACCTGAACATAGTTTGGAGCCAGACTATAAATGGCTTTAGAGGTTGGGCAGAGAAGTTTATGTTTAATCCTAGAAGCAATGGATTGTCATTGAAGCTTCTAGGGTAAAGAAGAAATATAATCATACCTTTTCTTTAGAAAATATTTTGACAGATGTGTAGAGTGAGTGAGTGAGTCAATAAGCATTTATTAAGCACCTACTATGTACTAGATACTGTACCAAGCGCTGGGGTTACAAAAAGAGGCAAAAGGTAGTCTCTGCTGTCAAGGAGCTCACAATCTAATGGGAGAGATGACATGCAAACAACTGTGTACAAAAAGGAGACATATACAGGATAAACAGGAATGGTTCCCCATAGAAGGCTTGATTTTAGTTGGAACATAAGGGAAGCCAGGAGGCAGAGATGACGAAGGAAAACATTCTAGATATGGGGGACAGCCAGAGAAAATGCCTGGAGTCAAGAGATGAGAGTGTTCATTTGTGGAACAGAAAGAAGACTAGCGTCCCTAGATCAAAGAGTACATGGCAGGGAGTAAGATGTAAGGAGATTGGAAAGGTTGAGGCAGGGAGGGAATTAGGGGAAATAGATTTAGGTTATGACAGACTTTGAACACCAAACAGAGGATTTTGTACTTGATCCTGGAGTTGATAGGGAGCAACTGTAGTGAGTAGGGAGTGACATGATCTGATCATCACTTTGGTGTCTGAATAGAGGTTGGATTGGAGCCGCGAGAGACTTATGGCAGGCAGATCCATCAGAAAGCTATTGCAACAGTTCAAGGCGATGAGGAGCAGCACCAAAGTGGTGGCAGTATCAGAAGAGAAAAATAGGATAAAGTGGAGAGGAGAAAGATTGGAGGGAGATCAATTAGGATGTTATGGCTGTGTGAATAGAGATGAAGGAATTTAGTTGGGATTAAAGAAAAATAATCTCACAGTTACAACATTAAGGAGATAACCTATTGCCTAACCCATACAGAAATTAGTGCTGTATATTTGAAATGGGCAGAATAGCTTGATTGCTATGTGCTTTCCTAGATACACATTCCATCTCCTGATAGTATTCTCTCCACTTAGGGGAGAAAAAAAAAGTAAAGTTCCAAGCATGAAGAAATGATGACCTTCCTTAATAAAATAAAGATATGCAAAGAATGAACAACTCAGACACTAATGCTAGCATACTCTGAAATGGTAAAAGAATAGGAACCAAAACAAAACATCTGGAACAAAGGATAATATATAGAGAAATAACAGAAGGAATGACATGCCTGTATATGTACTAATGTATGCCATCTTGCAGCATCTTGGGATGTGGATCTTTGATGGACAGAAAGAACCTGTCTTTCTCGTGTTCAACAAAATATGGTCAAGTCTACCAACACATTTCAATAATGCAGCAATGCCAATGAAGTTCTTACTATGTGCAAGGCATTGAAATAATAATTGACATTTACATAACATTTTACAGTTTAAAGAATGTTTTGCATGCATAATCTTATTGGAATCTCATGATGCCCTAAAATAAGACGATAGAATCAAAGAGGCAGAGATGGAAAGGACCTCAGCGAAATCTAATCCAAGCCCTTTGTTTTATCAGTGAAGAAATGGAGGACCTGGAGAGGTTCAGTAATTTGCCCAAAGACACACAAGGTCAGAGGAATGATTTGAACCCAAGTCCTTTAAGTCCAGATCCAAATTTCTTTAAACTATACCACACTATCTTACTTAGTAAATGTATTAACCTCACTCTCTAAATAAGGAAACTGAGGCAAAAAGGTTAAATTCTTTCTCTATGGCCATACAGATAGTAAGTAAGGAGGATTTAAGGCCAGGCCTTCTTAATTCCAAATCCAACCCTCTATCCACTAAGTGACATTGTCTTCATATAATTCTCAGGGAATCTTATCCATATTTTTGATGTTTTCAGTTATTTCAGTTGTGTCCAACTCTTCATGACCCGATTTTGGGGTTTTCTTGGCAAAAAATAATGGAGTGGTTTGCCATTTCCTTCTCCAGGTCATTTTACAGAAACTGAGGCAAACAGGTTTAATTGACTTGCTCAGGGTCACACTGCTAGTTAAGTGTCTGAGGCCAGATTTGAACTCATGAAGATGAGTTTTCCTGATTCCAAGCCCAGTGCTCTATCCACAGTGTCACCTAGGTGCCCTGTTCATGTTTAGAGGGCATATTACCAAAAATATGCTTTATCCTCAAGTAGGAGGCAGTGAATGAAATCTAATGGAATTGTTTGCTCAGATCTTCTCATCTAGGTCTCAGGATCTTGAACTAGAAGGGGTCTTAGAGTTGGACTTAGTCCAACTCTTTTTACAGATAAACAAACAGAAGCCCAGAATGACACTTGAGTTGACAAAGGTCACGTAGATAAGTAATCAGCAGAGAGATACTTAAGCAACTTCCTATCATTCTACATGAAGTTTGGTTAAGGGACTACAGATAATTGCAGTGGAGAAGAGGAGACTTGAAGGGCATATTATAGCTGCTTTCAAGTATTTTAAAGGTTTTCATATAATGGATTGTTCTTATTCTGCCTTGCCCCATGAAGCCAATCTAGAGCAACAGATGGCCGTTGCTGAGACAGATTTAGATTCAATATCAGAAAAAAATACAACATACCCATCAGAGATATCTAAAATTTAAATGAATCTAAAATTTGCCTCAGGAAGAATAACCTCCTCCCCTTTCCCCCTCCTTACTACAGGTCTTCTGGCCAAATCAAGGAAGGAATTGAGGGAGGGGTACTTCTTGGATATGAGTTGGATGAGATGGCCTTTGCGGTCCATTCTCACTTTGTTTTATTTTGTTTTTTCATTCTGCTACTGAGGGAAGGGATATGCCTTTTCCTATGTACTTCATGGACATTCAGCACAGAACTATGTCCTCCTGGAAGATTATAAACTAACACAGTCTTCTACTGAGACTACAAAGAGTGTACTGGATAGTGTTACATCATCAAAAATTCCAATCTAATCCTGGCATTATCTTCTGGAGCCTCGAAATTGCTCCTTCCCCAGTCTTTCATCTTCTAAAGTAAATCTTATCCCCTTCATTTCTATGTCTTGTAGCTGCAGATTCTGCAAGAAGAATCCTAGATAGAAGCAATTCACGTTGACTGTTCCAGTCCTAAAATCATGAAAATAGAAAAGGAAGGGAAGAAGAGGAAAAGAGAAGGCAGAGGTGATAAGAAGGGGAAGGACATGAAAAGGGGACAAGGGGAAGACCAGAAAGTAATTATAGGATTGTAAGTATACAGCTGAAAGGGACCTTAGTAGCATCCAGTGCAATTTTACATGAGGATACTAAAGCCCAAGGAGTTGATTTTTTTTCCCCAAGGTCAAAAAGATAGTAAACATCAGAGGCAGGATTTGAATTCAGATCCTCTGACTCCAGAACAGGGTTTTTCCTGTTGGACCATTGCACCCATGGAAGAAAAAAAGAGAATGAAAAGGAAAAGGAAGAGGGAGGAAAGGGAGTTAAAGGGGAAGAAGGAGAAGAATAGGGGTGACAGGAGGAGAAGGAATGATATTCTGGACTTGACATTCCATCTGCTCTCAACATGCTGTGGCGCTGGCTAATATCCAAGCCTTATTACCCCACTTCTCAGAGTCCAGCTCTGACTTCGACTCATCTTCAAATGAGAACTCCTGATTCTCACCCTTATTCTAGTTTACAGCACTTTTTCCCACCCTAAATGTCATTCTATTTTACTGTCTATACATGCTGTATCCCACCACCACCACCCCACCAATATGACATAAGTTCTCTTAAGGCAGAAAATATTTCATCTTTGCCTTTGTTCTTATGTGCACCCAGCATAGTACCTTGTATGCAGTAGAGACTGAATAAGTGATTTTGGAATGAATTTGAACTTAACTTACGCTGAGCTCTTAGCAGCCAACAGGTATTGGAGTAGGCACTAGTCAGAGGCAGAATATAAGAAAATTAATTAGGAAATTGGGAGATTGATAAGAAATATAGACTCGAGCAGGTAGGTGGCACAGTGCATCGAACTCCAGCATTGGAGTCAGGAGTACCTGAGTTCAAATGTGGCCACAGACATTCGATGCTTGCTAGATGTGTGACCC